TAGTGTGCCCTTTTTCTTTCTTCATTTGAAGTTATGAGTTGCTTCTTCCCCAAAGCAGCTGATCTGGCTAGAAGGACCTATAGCTGCTTCCTACTTGGGAAGGACCCCATCTTGGGCCTTTTGGGGTAGGTGCTAAGAAGATCTCTTGACTTGCTTTTAGAATGGGCTTTAGATTAGAGGTGTTGGGGTCTATTTAGCCCACCATTGTCTGGCTCTAGTTACCAAAGCCACACCTCAATATTGGGATTTGTGGCCAGAGATTTATGGCAATAAGTAGTGGACATTTTTCTGGACTTGTTCTCCAAGCATATGGTCAAATTCAATCAATATTTGCTAAACCAACCACCAAAGTCCTTGTCCTCATGCAACCTGGGTTCTAGTAGGGGACAGATAGTAAACAAATAAATATTTACTCTAATGTCACATGCTGACAAGAGAATGGGATAACAGTGGGCTCTGTTTGACAAGATAGTCATAAAAGGTCTCTGTGGAGGTGATATATAACAGAGACCTACATCACATGAGGGGGGGAGCCATATAAATATCTGAGGGAAGGAGTTTCCAAGAAATGGAATAGCAAATACAAGGACTGAGAGGCTAGAATAAATTTAGCAAGCTCACAGAAGACCAGGGAGTCCAGTACCATCAGGGAGAGAGAGCAAGAGTAGGGGAGGCAGGAGACGAGGTAGGGGAGGTAGCTGGGGACTGAGGGCTGTTTAATAATCTTTGGTCCCCAGCTTAGCAGAGGCTTTCCCTGAAGCCCTGTGGTCCACTAGGCAGTTGAACCTGAGTCTCAGTTAAATATCTGGATGTGACCAACAATGGCTGGAAATAGTTAATGCGGCTTTCCAAACTGCTTATCTAAATTGCAGCAGAGGAAGCGAAAGCAGCATGTCAAGAGACTGAAGTGGTTTGTCCCAGAGCTTTCCACCACTCCTTTTGTTCTTCCACCATCCCTAAAGACAAGGACGATTTATTGTCCCCATTACAGAAGGAAGGAGCTGATGCGCACCCTAGTCATAGGGCTGGATGGAATGACGGAGTTCATGCCCTTGCCTCAGCCTATGGGCTCTCATTCTCACGCATTCTTACTCTGGATAATCTCATCCTACCCAAGCCCAGAAAGCCTGCTTATTTTTTAATTACAATGATTGTATAACTATAAAACCCCATGGCTATTTACACATATTTCAAATGTCAGCTGAATCATGTAGCCTGTATCTGGATTACTTATGATATTTTTAAAAAGATCAAGAAATTAATCTTCCATCAACCTCGAATATTTTGTTTAGTAAAAAATAAAAATCAGATGGTTTTAACATCTATTACCCAAATAGAAATACGATTTAGTTCTAAATAAGCACTGGATTCTATCAAGTCTATTATTTTTCCAAAATCCGGGCGGAGGACATACAGGGGATATATTCATTAACTCATTCCCCAGCCATTTTTTTAAAAGATTTTATTTATTTATTTATTTATTTGACAGAGAGAGAGAGAGAGAGAGCACAAGCAGGGGGAGTGGGAGAGGGAGAAGCAGGCTCCCTACTAAGCAGGTGTGGGGCTCGATCTCAGGATCCTGGGATCACGACCTGAGCCTAAGGCAGAGGTTTAACCGACTGAGCCACCAGGCACCCCCCCATCCCCCAGCCATTCTATTGATGAATGCCTGATCATTACAAGAGTCTTGATGATTTGGGGACACATCTGAATCACTGTAGCCTTCAATTTTTGTTCATAGATTTACCTTCTGAAGCCATCGATCCTTTTTCTGTCACCTTGACACCACACGTCCCTGTTGCCCTCTGCTCATGAACAAGCATCCTCTGAGCTCTCTCCAGACACCTGGTTTCCAGGCTCCTCACCTTCCAGCTTGCGGTGGTTCATCAACAAGTAGTTCCATTAAATGTGGTGCCAAGGATTAAAAATGATTCCCCATGTGCTGTCTCACCAGCACGGAGATGTGCTATTGAAGTTGTTTTCACTGTTTCTTCCTCATTAGGTAGTGTCTTTTTTTTGTTCTCAGGCTCCTTGCTCACCATGGTCCCTTGCTATTTGTGGATAATATCTAGTGATTTCCCTGCTCCTTTTCCCGAAAATGTAAACAGGCTCAGTGTTCGGTCCCTAATCTTCTTTTTTCATGCCTCATATCACCTTTGTTCCCCATCTCCAAGCTTTCTTTTTGGGCCTGTATTCTTCTTGAAGTGTGTGGCATTTGCTACAGTGATCAATTATCCTAGGTAATTGCTCCTCATTTGAGCATCCCTATTCTTTCTCATTAAAGACCAGACAAGACTACTTCCTTTCATTGACCAGGTGCACCAGATCTCTTACTTCACCCCAGTTTACCATTTGGCAGTTTAATACTCTCAAAAGTTTAGGAAAACAAAAACAGAAACAGAAGTAAAACCAAGGAATCACTGAAGTAGTAATTAGTGAAGGTTTATTGTGCACACACCAGAAAAAAGACAGTTTGCAAACCGGGAGTACTCAAACCAAAACATGGGCTGAGACTCAGAGGCTATTGTTATAAAGCAGCTTAGAGATCTCGGAGGCAGGGACTGTTTATTCTTCACAGTGCTTGGTAACAATATGAGAATTTTCTTCAATGATAGAGAATTGGTTAGTGGTTATATCTTATCAATTTGGGGGAAGAATTTAAGTTTCAGTTATGATTTTCAGAGGCATAAGTGAGATGTGACCCAGGTTGTTAGCCTCGTTTGTCATGCAAAGGAAGCTAAATTAAGCTTTGCTTGTATGACTAAACTGGTTTTTGTCTGGCTCAGGAAATTTTCAAGTCTGGTCTCCGTGTGTTCGATTTTAACAGTGCTTTCGAGCTCATTCACTGAGGCGCCTAATTTGAGTAGCTTTGCTTGCTCAGTGGACAGCTGGCTCCTCTGTTCTGTTTCCTCCCTGCAGTAACAGACTGCTGTTTTCCTCTGAGCAGCTTCTTCTGGGGGCCACCCAGGGATCTGCTAACCATGCAAGAGAGAACACTTTTTTGTTTTGGTTGGGGGCGTCATGCATCTTTACAAACCCAGTTAAGCTTTCTCTCCTAGTTTCCAGGTATCTTGGTAACGATGGTCTACTTTGTCTTTCTGAGGTTGTAAAATGAGGCTAATGGCCCCTTCTCATTACATCTCGGCTCCACTGGGCCTTTTAAACTCCTCCAGTCGGTGCCTCATGTATTGGTTCACATTATTTGCCGCTGTTATAAATGTGATTTCTTCTTGCTTATCAGACACACCCCCTAAAAATACATGTGTTAACAGTTCCTGTGCTGCATGTTTAAGAATTCAGATGAGTCAAAAGTGGGCATTCAGGGAGAGTACACTCTGGAACGCTAACTTAAAATTCCAGTCAGCAATCCTTTGGATATGTAAATTGAGGAAGCAGTCCTCCTTTTGGACAGCTTAATGATCTGTAGTTAATAGTAAGAGGCTGCTGGGCAGATGCCATACAGCTGGGCTTACGTTAGTCTCTCTCAGCTCTCCAAATTGCCCCGTGATTACAGCCATTGAGATTCAGAATCCTACCCGGGATCAATAACCAAAAGCACAAACAAAGATCTGGCGGTGGCTTGTCAGTGTGGCCTTTCTCTGCACACCGTCCTGCCCAAGCCAGCGACTGACCCCTTCTCCCTGGTCCTGCCTCAGGCTGAGCCGTCGCCTGCACGAAAACTAGAGAACTAGCTCCCCAACAAGTCTGAGATGAAGAGTGCTGGACTGAAGGCCAACTTCTTCTCTTACTTGAGTGCACACAATTTCATTAAACTTGACGGAGACTGAGTGTCATCTCTTGGTAGGAAAATATAAGCCTGGAAGCCATATAGTCATAGTTCCTGGAGGCAGTGGGCTTGTTTTTATGCCTTATATGCAAAATCGGCTTGGATTACTGTATGTTGAGGTGGCAGGTCCATTTACAATTCCCAGGGTCTTGTTATTTTCACTCAGAAACTCAAGTGAATTCAACAACCACCACCCCAAAACAACCCATTCAAAAATGGGCAAAGGACTTGTAGAGACATTTCTTTAAAGATGATGTACAAAGGGCTGATAGGCACGTAAAAAGATACTCAACGTCACTAATCATTAGGGGGGGAATACAAATCGAAATCGTAATGAGGTATCGCCCCACCCCCATTTGAATGACTAGTATCAAAAAGCAGAAAATAACCACTATTGACAAGGTTGTGGAGAAGTTGGAACCATTGTGCACTGCTGGTGGGGGCACAGAAAGGTGCAGCGGCTATGGGGAAACAGGACGGCAAGCCATCAAAAATAGAATGACCATATGACCCAGCAATTCCATTTCCGGGGATACACCCAAAAAAGAATTGAAAGCAGGACTTGAAGAGATATTTGTACACCCACTTTCCCAGCACCATTATCCCTCATGGCCAAAAGGTGGAAGCAACGCACGTATCCACTGATGGATGAATGGGAATGTAGGGTATACCTACGGTGAATAGGATTCAGCCTTAAAAAGGACACAGGCTACAACATGGATGAGCCTCAGGGACACTATGCTGAGTGAAATAAACCAGTCGCAAACAACAAATACTATATGGTCCCACTTAACATGAGGCACCTAACATCGTCAAATGTGTAGACAGAAAGTAGAATGGTGGCTGCCGGGGGCTGAGGGAGGAGGAATGAAGAGTTATCGTTCAATGGGTAAGGAATTTCCCTTCTGCAAGATGAAAAGAGTTCCAGAGGTGGATGGTGGTGAGGGTTGCACAGCTATGTGAATGTACTTAAGGCCACCGAACTGTACACTTAAAAATGGTTAAGGTGGCAAATCCTGTTACGTGGATTTTACCACAGTTAAAAAAAAAAAAACAAAGCTCAGCTGAAGGATGCCATATTCTCTCAGCAATCCACGCTGTTGAGGGAGATTAGAAATTAAAGAAGGAAAAAAACCACCTGAGGGAATAGATCTTGAATTTATGTCCAACTAATTACAAATATGCTTTTTTTTTTTTTTTTTTTTTTTTACAGAGTCATTTTTCTCTCAAGAAGGGAGCTGCAGCTTTGGGGATTGGAACAGACAGCGTGATTCTGATTAAATGCGATGAGAGGTGAGTGTGCATCTGCAACCCTTCATTGGTTGGCAGTTTGCAACTTCCACACATGTATCTTTTAGTCCAAACGCAGGCATCAACTGTGGGGTGGGGGGCAAAACCGCCTCCATCCCGGCTTGCTGTTCACTGTTTCTTTTTCACGTGGGCTCTTGCTCGGAGTCCTGGGACATTGTTCCTCAATGCCATGGAGCCTTCCATGGCCCTTGACTGAATTGGCACCTTTGTTAAATCAATCAAAATATTCTGCACCAAGAAGATGCAGAAGGGCATTCATCACCTGGGCACTTAAGCACCAACCAGCAGTTTGAGCATTGATTTATGGAGGTGTCATCATTCTAGGCGCCACGGATTGTGTGAGCTTGATGGACTGATTACAGAAGGGGGGACAGTTTTGTGAGCAGGAAGTAAATAATGCCCCCAGCAATTTGTCCACTTTGTCTTGGAACCAAAGAGCTCTCTTAGGGAAAATCCCTGCCTTAATAGGCACCCAAACCTCACAGGTACTCTGGAAATAGGTGTAGGATTAAAAAGCATTTCCAGCACATCCACATAAATTTTCACTAGCCTATAGGTCTGGAACTGATAAGAAATTAAATTTAGTCTCTAAAGAATTGAGTAAGAAATTTCACTAAATTAAAAGGGAGCTACTCAATTAACCATTTTTTTCATATGTATTTATTAGTCAGACTTCATGTTTGCCCACCATATCCTGAGGCTCCAGAAAAGCATAGGGCATCATCATCCCAGTTCCCTGACAGTCTATGATCTAAGGGAGATAGGATAACACCAGAAGGAGACAGTTATAGGGTTGAATCGTGTGGCACAGAGAACCTGTTCTGTATATTGGTAAGGCTTGGAAGGCTCCATGCAGCAAGCAAGACTTGTGCTCTCAAAGATTTTCACAGTGAGGGATGAACTGAATGGATGGAGGGGAAGTGGGGGGCCATTACAGAGGACGGAACACCACAAGCAAAGCCCCAGAAGTAGGAGTGAGCATGTGGAGCTCCAGAGAGGAAAGGGGCCTGACCAGGGGTATCAAGGAGGAACGGTCATGGCAAACCTGGTGGGCCATGTGGGATTTTGAAAGCTCAACAAAACACACTGATTAATGACGCATCTCTCTCTGGGAGGGAAAATCACAAGGGATTGCCGCTTTCTTGTCCAAGCCTTTACATCTTGCCTGACCCGATCTGGTTGTTTACAAGGAACACGTGCTACTTTTACAATCAGAAAGAAAAAGTGACGTTTTCTTTTTCCTTGTTGTGGGGGGAGGACACTAAACTTAGCACTTGAGCTTGATGCATCTGCAATCAAGGTCATTTTTATCCGAGAAGGGCATGAGAGAAACCATCCTTCCGGAAGCAAGGCAAGGAGAGACCTGGGTCAGTGAGGCTGGGCGTGAGGCTCTAGCAATAGGATGGGTGGGAAATTCGAAGGACTGGAGCAAGGCAGGCATATTTTGAAGGAGAAACTGCTTATATTTTTAAGACTACCAGTCTCCAAAAATCGCTAACAGGGAATAAAGGTTTAAATGACTTCAGCATTGTTCTTAATCTGTAGCCAACTCTTATAAGGAGCCTAAAATTTGGGGAAGGATGGTCTAGACAGGCCCTGTTAGCTGACCTACTCTGTCTTCTAATCTAACCTGCTTAGCAGGTGTTTTTGACCTTGAAGCCCAGTGGGTGAGGGATGACCTGGGAGAACAGAGGGTACTCGTTACCTCATTCCTCGAGGCATCGATATTGCTGCTTCTACTCCTGTGAAAATCAGGTTGTAACGATGCAAGTGGCCTTGGGATGAGCCCACCCAACCAGCCAGCCAGGCATTCCTGGGAGCCGAAGGCTGGCCTGAGGACTGCTGACTGTCTGAGGGCAGAATCATGCTCCCAAGGGAAGTGCAGGCCTGGAAGAAGGAAAGGCAAGAAGGAAAAGCAAAAAAGTCGCAGGAACAGGGAGCACAGAAGAGGTTGCCAGGAACAGATGCCAAAAGATGTCTGTCGTTCACCAACAGCAGAGAAAGGAGCAGAAAGCAGAGAATGCTGGGAAACCAATGGGGTCTCGAATCAGTGACTAGCCACGTCACCTCAAATTTTTAGGTCAAAGAATTTTATGTCCACAATTTTAGAAGCCATTAGAAACACTAAAGCACGATGTTAAAAATTACCGTTTTTTCAGAAAATACCTCACTTTCCCCGGCAACTCCCCCCCGCCCCGCCCCGCCCCACATACACCCATTGGGAGGGGATAGAGGGAAGGGACTACCAGGCACGTGGGCCTAGGTGGGGCTTTTCCTTCTTCTGCTCATGAGCCTTGTGGGATGGGGAAGGGAGGAGAGAACAATACAGGAGGAAGAAGAAAGAAAGAAAAATAGATTTATAAATAAGAAATAAAAGATGGGAGAAATAAGGACCAGGAGGAAAAAACAAATTGCAATGAAGTATGAAGTGAAGCAAGGAGGAAGGAAGTACAGTTGAAAACATGGGGGTCAAGGGCACTGACCTCCCCACCCCTTGCAGTTGAAAATTCACATACAACCTTTGAGTCCTCCAAAACTAAACTACTAAGAGCTACTGTTGACCAGAAGCCTTACCAATAACATAACCAGTCAATTAACACATATTGTGTATGTTTTATATATATTACATACTATATTCCTAGAACAAAGCAAGCTAGAGAAAAGAAAATGTTATTAACAAAATCTTAAGGAAAATACATTTACAGTACTATATTGTATTTATCAAAAAATATCCATGTGTTAGGGGCACCTGGCTGGCTCAGTCGAGGAGCATGCGACTCTTGATCTCGAGGTTGTGAGTTCGAGCCCCACAGTGGGTGTAGAGAATTACTCAAAAATTAAAAAATCTTTAAAAAAAAAATATCTGTGTGTAAATGGACCTGCACAGTTTTCAGACCTGGGGGCAAGAAGCACATGAGAACTTTAAAGAGGAGTAAGTGATCGTTTTTACCATCTGAAAAGCAATACATGCTTACTTTAAAAAATACAAAATAACAGGGAAAAATTGTCATTCCACCACCGAAAGATCAGCACTAATACTAAACTGGTGTCTAAATCTCGAATCTCTTTTTCTAAGCATAGAGATTTGAGTTTTTTTCTTTTCCTGTTTTAATTTTCATATTTATGATCATGTTTCTTTTTCTAACTAGACATGATAAGTATTTTCCCACATTATTGCAAACACTCTTAACTACATAACATATGAGAAAGCATGATAGTACTTTGTTTTTGATTTTTTTAAAGATTTTATTTATTTTATTTGAAAGAGAGAGAGTGAGTGAGAGAGCGAACATGAGCAGGGGGAGGGGGAGAAGCAGACTCCCTTGCTGAGCAGGGACCCTGATGTGGGGCTCGATCCCAGGACCCTGGGATCATGATCTGAGCCAAAAGGAGATGCTTAACCAACTGAGCCACTCAGGCGCCCCACATGATAGTACTTTGAAGGGCGGTTTCTGGAGCTGGACTCTTTGACCCCCTTGCCCCGTCTCAGCTCCAGCACTAGCTTGGGCAAATCCCTCTCTGTGCTTCAATTTTCTTATCTGAAAAAAGGAAAAAGTAAGGGCCCTGCTTCATAGGGTTATTACGAAGATTAAATGTGTTAACAAATATAAAATACTAAAAATGATATGTAGTAGTAGAAAGCAAACACAAAATATTACCCCTTCCTGTTCATTTCCCTGTTTCTGGTGTTGCTATGATAAATAATCCTTCTATCCTTCATTGAACATTCTTATGTTCCCAGGCTTCTCCATTTAGGATTATTTCTTAGTATAATTGCTAACTTAAGTTATATGAATATTCTTAAGGAAAGTGACACATCAGGCCATATTGCCTTTCAAAAGTTTTCACCAACTTATTGTCCTAGCAGTATTGTATGAGAGCATGTTGGGGGAAAATTAAAGCTGTGTTGGTAGCTACATGTAGTCTTTAATTCCATATTGATAATTCACATCATCTCTATAGAATGATTTTAAGACTGAGAGCCTGGCCTAATGGATTAAGTGAAATTGAAGTGTCTGGGTTCGGGGGCCAAGGAGCAGACTTTGGACAATCATCTGTAGCCACCATTCCAGTCAGAATCAGTTAAAACATGCTGGACAGCCATTTTGTTTTTATTAATCACGTCCTTGTGAAAGTCAGATGTTTGGATCAGAAAATCACTTGAGGCTGACAAAGTGCATACCTGCCTTCTTGTTTCTCCTAGTGTGCTTGGCAAAGTTCATCAAGGTTTTACAAAACATGAACCTGGACCTGCTCTCGAAGACATTCATTTCTTAGTAACTAATGGACTCTGCCCATTAGTCTGTCAGTGGCTGGGGTAATAGGTTTTATCTTGTTCTACAGACAGTTGACTTAGTAGGAAGCTCACAATGAAGGGAAATGTCCTAGTGAAGAAGAATAGTCTCCTAGTCCAATGCCACATATGGAAGAAAATACTGCAAGATACTGTCTCTTAATTAGTAATCACAGGGGCTCAGTTTGGTAACCCATTCAAAGTGAAACAATGATTCTCAGTTAAAACAAAGAAAGAGAAATATATAATAAATCTTCATGTATTTGGAAAAGCTTCTTTCAAAGTTGAAAATCAAAAAGCATATTAACTTTATTATTACTCTAATAAATAAAATAAGGCAATGGAAAACCTCACTTCACCATGGCTTACATTTGAATGTGAAGTATCATAACTAAAAAGAGTGTTCTATTTTTGGAAAAATTAATTATTAAATTCAAAAGAGAATAATGTGTTAAATGAATCTTCAATTTCATAAGTTGTAGTGTAAGAGTTCTTTTTCCTTAGAAGCAAAAAGTTTAATCTTCACAGTAATGGTATTAATGGATTTTTATTTAAGTATCATTGGGTCTAATAATTGCAAATTTTGAATTAGTGGAATCCAATTAATGCTGCATTGATGATGTCTAAGGACAGAAAAGTGTGAGTTAATATCTAGAGAAAAATAACTATTTGTGAAAGAAACTGAGTG